TAAAACATATAGTATATATGTATAAATGTATGTTTTCCATAGTGCATATGTTTGCTACTATGTAAATTTTATGGCAGTATACTTCTTAAGAACTCTATAAAGAACAAAAGCTTACAACAACTAGTATTTCTAGTTATGCAGTCAACTGAAGTTTTTATTAATGCATGGTTTAAAATTGAACAACTTTGTTCAAGTGTTTACCATGGCCAGTTACATAGCATCATTACTTACAAATGTTTATGAATAGGCATACTGGAAGCATGTACACATTTTGATAATAAAGCTAGAAAAAAAACATAATAGCTAGTTTTATGTCCTAGTCCTGAAGAAGCTACAAAGGTAAAACATCAGTTAAAATAATATTTCTCTTATAATTATTTGGAGTGTAAAGGTCGTTTATTTTTCTAATTTTAATCAAAATACAAATAGGCAGTTGAAAAGTATTTAATAATTTTATTGTCAAACAGATCTGTAGTATTTCAAAGATTAATAATTTTTCAGTCACATGTGAATTACATAATTTCTTCTTAAGTGTTATTCCACTAATTATGTGAGATTGGTTTATTCTATGCACAACCATTTGATTATTCAAGCTCTTGTTAAAAACAACAACATGTATTTGAATTCCATATTTGAGTCAGTTTCAGATAAATTTTTTATTTCAATGTTAAAGTTCTGCAGAGGTTAAAGTAACAGTTGACACCTAATCTCTACTTTTACCAAGTAGAAAAATAGAAATGCAGTTAATATTATACAACAGTTAGCTCATATTTTTACTTATATGTGACTATGTAAAAGTGAAATATTTAGAGTATCAATTTTTTGTTGTTACAACAGCCATGCCAGGAGGAAGATTTAGATTCAACTCATTTAAGTGACAATGATGAAAGATATCCGCCATCCTTTTGTGTTCAGGAATTTAAAGAAAACTTGGTTGACAGAGGAACTAAGGTAGAGACTACAGCACTACGACTACATAACTTGGTTGACAGAGGAACTAAGGTAGAGACTACAGCACTACGACTACATGAACAATTTAATGAAAATTCATTAAAAAATGATCAATTAGAACCTTCTAAAGAAGAAGCTAACAGTGATAAACTTGCTAAATCCTTGACAATGTGCATCAGTAACTATGAAGCTACACCTATGGTCCAGTCTTTCAGTGATATCCCTGTCTCATTAAATGAACATTTAGTTAGTAAAAACGAGTCCTCAATTGTTGGACAGTGTACTGATGAAAATGGACTTTTGTTCATAGCTGAAAGAGACCAATCCAGTCAACCTTCAACCACGGCAAAGCATATCAGTAAAAGTATTGGGTTGTCTTCAGTGCAGCCTAATAATAACAAACCTGTTGCCCAAAACGCAACTTTAGCAAAGAAGGAATTTGATAGTTTTCACTCTCCTACAAGTGTAACCATGGTGCAGCCCAAAGCTGAAAAGCTAACTTCTCTACAGAAAGTGTCATCTGACTCTCAAAAGTGTAATGAAGACTATTCTGTTATCATAGAGCAACCCATTATTAGTTATCAGCCATCAACTATGACACAGTGCAACAGTGAAAGCTCTTCATTCATTGAAACACAATCCTTCAGTGATTATGATATGTTAGCTGTGATTAAGTCCATGAATAATCCTGAACCTTCAGCCTCAGCACAGACATACATTGAAAACAAAAAATCCCTATTGGATCAGTCTAGTGTTGAAAATATATATCCAATCATGACTCATTTTTGTAGTAAAAATCAAGACTTAGACATAAAACAGACCATAAATATTGATGAATCTTCAAATATAGTAAAATCATGTAATTTAAAGCAATCTTCAGCTATTGAGCATGACAACCAACCTTCAGTGCTAGAGTATGATGTAAGAGATAAACAACCCTCAGCTATAGCACATTGTAACAAAGAAAATCAACCTTTACCTTTTGAGAAGTCCATTACTAGTACTCAAGTCTCAACCATGGCAGAGCCAAACAGTAATAAACAACATTCAACCATACAAAATGCAGTTGTTAGAAAATTAGCAAACACTTTTGCTTTCTCTAGCAATGAAAATCAGCCATCAAATATAATGTTTCCTGGAAGTAAAAACAGTTTGACTTCTGTCTTACAGCAGAACATAGAAAAAAGATCCTTCAGTACAACCTCAGAAGTCAAAATAAAAAGTCATTTTCATGATAGCAAAGATAATTATAAAATACATTCCACTTGTGATTCGTCTTTAATGTTATTGAAAACCAATATACAGGAAGCAGATAGTGTGAACAAGTTAGAAGATGATCAGCAAGTGAATTCTTTAAAAAAAGAAAGCAAGAGTAATACTTTTAATGAGAGTAAGAGTGAGAGATTAGATGAATTACTGACAAACTTTATTATGATGCGAAAAGGTAAACTTAGTGCAAAAAATGTGACTTCTAATCAAGAAGCTAACTTACAAGTTGAGATGTATAATCCAAAGAATCTTGGTGACCAGGAGATGAAAAGCAAAAGAATAGTTGGAGGTAAAGTCTAAGTGTAAAAAGTGTGCATAATCAACATTTACTTGCAATATTTCAGTGAAGTTTCAATAAATATTATACAATTGATCCTGCTCTACAAGATTGAATTGGTAATGAAATAATATTTTTAGAAGGTATTATATTTGTAATGTAAAGTTAAAATCATCCACTAGATGACCAAATTCCAGGTTTCTTAGGTTCAAAAGAAATTTTGGACTTATCCAGCATGATATGCACTGCTACATGACTGGTCATTCTCAATACACATAGGTGGGGCCATACCCATAAAAGGATATTGCTGTCAACATTCTTACACAAGCTTGCATCAAGCAATGTTCTCCACAGGCAGTAACAGGCATTATCTATTTCATTAATTACAGAAACATAATAAATTTAAGAGTTTTCTCAATCATGTGAGAAACTTGCACATATACAGAACAAAGAATAAATATTAAAGATAGAAAACCATGGTATATTCATATACCACATTTTTCTGTTTTTCCTTATCTCAGGCTTGGATCAAGCTGACAATTAACTTTACTCTTACTGCCAATAAATTTAAAATTTTTGCTCATTGAGAATTGTGTTAGCATATTCTGGCTTCCAAAAACATTTGCACATCACATAGTTGGAATAACTCTTTAACAAAGATGCAAAAATGCCATACTTGTGTTCAAATACCTTTATGAGTACAGAAACCCATTACTTTTTTAAAGATATAATACATGGTGAAAACCATTGATGCGATGTTAACATAATAATGAAACACTTTTTAAGCAATCATAAAAATATGCTAGAAAATACTTGAAATAAATATAATCCCTTACATGGACAAAAATTCTTTAACAAAGAAATGAAATGTGTAAAGAAAATTGCTACTGAAGCTTTTAACTAAGATAATAATGCATACAGTAAAAAGAACAAATAGACACTATAACACAGTAAAATACCCTTGAACTCATGTGGAAGTACACACAAGTACATACACAAACTTTTTAACACAGAAAACTATTCCGATATGGTACTTCCCTCCTCTCACAAGATTAGCTTTTCTTTTGCGCTGCCTCCTATATGCAAATATTTTTATAATGCATGCCACAAGCCTTCCACATCCTCCCTATTGGAATCAAAGATTGCAATATGTCTCTCATGCGAATCATCATGCTTCACCTCTCCACCAATAGGGTAGCAGTAAAATCACCTGACTCATGTGATTCCCTCTATACGCTTCTATCAAACTATCACTTCTCGTTTGGCAGTGCTCGTGTTCAGATGTTTTGAATTTTGCTCTCGTCATCATAACTTTAACAGTTTAATGCTGTGGTGGTTTAACTTTAATAGTTTTATAGCCACAGTGGTTTTCTACTCGTTTGCATATGCAGATGATGAACTTGTTCTCAATTGCTTTCCAGTCTTTGCTTTTTTTGCTCTTGTCATCATAACTTTAACAGTTTAATGCCGTGGTGGTTTAACTTTAATAGTTTTAGAGTCACAGTGGTTTTCTACTCGTTTGCATATACAGATGATGAACTTGTTCTCAATTGATTTCCAGTCTTTACTTTTTTGCACAGTGTATTTATCTATCAATCACTTTACGATGAATTTCGTGGTTTCCCTACGACCATGAGCACTTTTTGCCATTGCTATAGGTGGGGTAACCCGTCGATAGATTTGCCTGTGATCATTCACTAGGTGATCGGTTGTTATATGGGTCAAACACATTCTTCTGCTGTTGCACACTTCCTCATGAATGATATGAATTTGTTTGTTCAGGTGAAGACTTGATGCCCTTTACATCACTGAATTTTGCTGTGTTTTACTCTGTCTTCCTGCAGAATCAGCTAGGCCTAAAATGGCATTTTTGACTTTATTTCTCAGGTATGTCTTATTCCTTTTTCCAGATATTAGGGTTCATGCTGTGCTTTTGCTTCCCATTGGCTTGATGGTGCCAGCATGATTTGCCCTCATGGGCTACAGATTAGTTTGCTTTAGCTTCCTCTCTTGTAGACTGTCCAATTCTAGTCATTCTGTTGTTGGGCTCTGTTTTACTGTTTGGGGGGGAACTCCCTGATTTTCTGGTGCATTCTCCCATTTCTGTTCTCATGCCTTTGTTTTACCTTTGCTTTCTGTTCTTTCCTTACACTTCTGCAGCATGGGGAGTACTTCCCCTCTTTGGTGATTCCTTCCTCTTCCCACCTTACCATTGGCCTGATCCTGATAGACATCTATGTTCTCTACATACTCTTTGGTACTGCTTTGCCTAAATGGCTTCAGTCCGTGGTTCCCCATCCAACTTCTTTCTTCCATGGTGCCCATCCTTGGTTCGTGGGTTTGCTCCTTCTGCCCTCACCAATTGGGTTTGGCTTTTGTCTCAATTGGCTTATTGTTCTCTTATGTGTCCTCCTGGACCTTGTTCCAGGTGTCTTCTCACCACATTTGACACCTGGTTTCTCTGGTTTCTCATCTTCATCATCCCTTAGAGGACATTCTTCAGTGGGGCAAGTGGACTACACCTCAGACCTTCTTCTATCGTGATTTCTTCTTTGTCAGGTTCTCATCCACTGCAATCGTTTTTCACACTTCCATGCAACTTTGACTGGATAAGTATATTTGTCCTTTTATTACCTTTCAGGGGCCCTTTCTTTGTTTCTCTTTTTTATGGATCCCGCTCACTGGCGAGTGGTGCCTTACTGAGTATTCTTTAACTCTAAATCCACACTGTATGCCATGTTGAGTCGTGTGCTCTTTCCATAGCTCTGCATGCTCACCCTTGAGATGGGGTGTTTCACAAGATTGTTTGTAGGTGAATAACTTTGGGATATTTGCTTCATAAATATGCCTGTCCCAGACCATACCACCCATGGATGGCATAGGTAAAGCAGAAGGGGATATGTGCCAATCCCTGCCATGCCTCGATTGAATAAATCAGTATGGTCTGCTTTTCAAAATAGGGTTTCGTGATCACCCATTGCACTGCCTCGGATGTCGACGTACTTCTGGGCTTTCCATCACACTATCTACCCTTCTTTTCTTCAAGTGGAGTATGAGAGTCTTTACCAGTTCTGAGTTGCTGGGTGGTTGACCATGGAGGCACCCTACTGAATGGGTTCTACAAAGATGGCTATAACTATTCAGTTTAGAGTAGGGCAGTGGTGTTCTGCCAGTGTAGATGGCATATAATCCTCCTGATTGAGTTTAATATACCTTGGGGTGAGACATCAAAATGTGGTTTACCCATTTGATTGGGAGGATATTGGTACAACAATCAACATAAGTCCTCACACAGGTTTCTGGTTATCTATCTTCCTCCCTCAATTATTCCATGTGTGTTGTGGGTCACAGTAAAGATACATAGGATGTATCCATAGATGTCCTGGGCTCTCTCTCTCTCTCTCTTATTCTCTCTTGCAACGTGGATGTTATTGCCCTTTGGATGTTCTGAACCAGTTTCACGGTCACAGGAGTTAATTGCATGCTGGATGTCTCTTTACCATCTCCCTAGCTCAGTGTAATCCTGTGTCATACCTTGGAATCAATGTGGTATTCTCGTCCACGATTCTGGGGTTTGAGATGAAGACAGTATGATCCTCATCTCACCCTCACGTGGGAGTTGGTACCCAGCAAGGAGGTTTTGTATGTAGTTGACTTATCGAGTCTGCCATGCCATAGCCTCATTTACCCATCTTATTCCTGTGGGATGGAGATCATTTCTCTTCCCGGTAGGATCACTCCCTGCCATATAAACTCCCACTCAGATGTGTTTCCTTCTTTTTCCACCACATTCTTCCAATTTCATATGTGGCAATGAGTATACCTCGGATCAGAAGTGGTGTGGTTTACCTCATGGATCTGACACTCTCATCTACAGGAGTATCCTTTGAACTCTTTTTTTGTTGTGTGTGTGTGTGTGTGTGTGTGTGGTGGGGGGGGGGTTACATTTGTTTTTCCCTCGCACTGGTCCCTCCAACTTATCAATGTGGGATTCTAGCTAATCTTGTGAGAGGAGGGAAGTACTGTATCGGAAGTTATAATTTTCCTATACTGAAAATATATTTCCAATAGGTACTTCCCTCCACTCACACTTCCCACCCTTCCTCCCCACAATCTTCCGATGTTTCAGAGAAGGGGGTTATAAATGATCAAAATCGTCGTCAGGCTGGCCCAGCTCGAAAGGCTCAAGAGGAAGTGGGGCAGAAGTAGGTGAGAGTGGTTGGCTCATGTACTGCTCAATCTGAATGAGTGACGATATTCCCCGACAGGTGGCCTGCACCCGTGGCTGAGAATATGGCGTCAGACACTGGCAAAGTACCCAAAGTGGTGACTGTAACTTTGGAGTTCATAAGTGGGAAACACAAGAAAGTAATGTATTAAAATATTAACTCCTTAACTGTGAAGTGTTGGAAATAAAGTTAAGAAAAATATGAGAAATGAAAAAATAAATCACTTCAGGGTAACTAAATAATGTAAACAAAGAACATCTGAACTCAGCTGCCACATTTTGAAGTGATAGTTCGGTAGAAGTGTATAGAGAGAGTCACATGCGTCACGTGATTGTACTGCTCTCCTATTGGTGGAGAGGTGATGCATGATGATTAACATGAGAGATACATTGGAATCTTTGATTTCAATAGGGGGAGGGGGTACAGAAAGCTTGTGCCATGCATTATTAAAAATATGTTTGCATATAGAGGGCAGCACAAAATGGGAAAAGCTAATCTTGTGACCAGAGAGAAGTACCTATCAGAAATATGTTTTCAGTATAGGAAAATTATAACTTTAAATATAAACAAATCATGAAATGAAATATCCTTTAACAATGAATAAATAAAAGTATTTAATTCACATTACACATTCATTTGTATGACAGGAAATTCTTTGGCAGTGAAAATCAATCTTAAACCCATTAACACACAAATATATCATTTCAATAGTTTGAAATTCTTAGTTTGTTTTTAATAAAAAAGATGCATTTTAATAGTTGGTACCAAAATTGCAACCACAAA